GTTACCGTTCTGCCAATTTCCCCCCGGCCACTCCAGCATTTTTTGCATGAATCTGCATTTCATAAGAACGCTCTCCTTCCATCGGATGAATAATTCAGACTATTTACAGTCGAAACATCGTTCGCTTCGACGTATGGAAAACGTGCGTCGAAACAAGTCAGACAAGAATTCGTTATACCCGATCGACTATTTAATTAACTTTGAAGTATTTGAAAGTTACATCGTGCCCAATGGTTCCATTCCAAGATTAATTACTCACCTTTTTATTTAATAACGCGCCAACGGCTTTTTATTCATATTCGTTAAATCAACTTCTCAATTGGCTTTGTACGATTAACACTAGAAAGACTGAAACTTAGTATATACCTACATTCTTGGGAAAAAAAATAATTTATGCATTATTATTTGTACATTTGCCCAAAAGCAGTCAAAATGACTTCCTTGGGCAATCTAGTGTTAATATAAAAACTAATATAATTAGGATCGAATATCCTGCGTTATTACCTCGATTTTATCAACATTTAGCCTATCAATTTTTATTGCACTCTGTACATAGTAATCATTAATTACATATTAATCAACGATTTTTTTGTATGCTGAATTCGTCCATGTTTTTCTACGAATATTGAGAAGTAATTCTGACAAGACTCGTTAGCTTGTGTCAAAGGTCGTCAATCGGCATAGCTGATTTGGAAGAGGAACTAATTAAAAAGAAACGCAGGATGGTAAAAGTTTGCAGCCACCGGTACAAGGGGACAATTAAACTGACGAATTTCACCGTGGGCGGGGAGTCCGTACTTGCCAGAACAATCCGGCTGCTTAATAATTTCCGAAGTTACGGCGAAGATACCCGGAAGAAGAACTTTCGTTTCGTGATTTCACCGGCCTGTTTCTGACCGTTTCCAACTGGGGAAACTCCGTGGTGGAAGAATGGTTATTGTTAGTACGGCTCGTTTGCCCGGCTTTTCTACCCCCGTCAAAGGAGGGAAGTTTCATTTTACCGAAGCGAATCGGAAACGATTTTCTAACGAAGTGATATGAATAGAAAGAGACGACCGTGCATTGTTCACTAATCAATTCCAATTTGACTACTCGATCGCTCCGTGTCATGCGTGAATTCATTATGAAGGAATTAATTAGCAACGATCAGGAATTCTCAAATAAATCGTATTTAAAAAATTGGACTCTTGATCCGAGTGATTCTTGTGTCCACGATTGAACGGACAGAAAAACCTGACGAAAGCTGACGGATTATCCAGGTCACGTTTTTCGATCGTCTCTTCCGACAGCGCTTTTTAAGCCAGTCGAGGGACGCAAAATTTTTGCGTTCGAAACCGGGTCGAGAGCGTTTTTAGACTTGTTAGAAACGTTTCCCCGTCCAATCTTTCACACCGAGTTTCGGAAACTTGTCTCCGGGCGTGCAAAAAGTTCCGTCGCGTCGCCGCGGTCCGGAGGTTTCATCCGGCTTCGAAAAGCCGGGGGGGAAAAAAATATCTTCCTCTCGTGGACACGCGTACGCGACGGTCTGTCAGTTTCCTGAACATGTTTTCGACACGTTGAAACAAAACCTGACCGGTTTTGTCCCGTAGACCGACGCGTCGTCGGTAAGATTAATTACTGTCATCGTATCACGTTTTTTCCTGCTAGACCGAAAATCCAATTTTACGGACACGGACGATCCAATTAGTGGCTCCGAGATGTTGGTGGTCCTCGGACCGTTTATCAAACCTTTTCATTTTTCTCAATTTCTGCAGTGCTCAAGAGAATTGCAGATTTCATTGCCAGGAGCAAACTCGAAGGAATGGACGACTGACTCACGGTGGCCTCCAGATGTTTAGCCACACTTTAACCTTTTGGGTACTATGCGCCACTATAGTGGCTTTCGCGGATGTCATCTTCCTGTACGACGCGCCACTATAGTGGCTTTCGCGG